AATTTAGTATTAATCTCCTGGATTTCTGTCTGTAGATTTTGTATCATTTCTGATTTTTCATTTATTTTGTCATTTTGTTCTTGTATTGTCTTTTGAAATTGTTCTAGGGTTTTCTCTGTATTTTCCTTGATTTGTCTCTCAATTCATTGAAGATACCTAAATATAATTCTTCTGAATTCCTTATTGGGGAATTCCAATGCTGCTTATTCCTCAGGGATGTGTTTTGGGTCTGTATCCTGGTCCCTTGTTTCTCCTGCTTTATCTTGCTTCTTTGTGTGGTCTGTGATACTCTGTTGTCTCCAAGGCATTGTGACATTTTTTTGTTTATATTTAATTGGTGATTGTATGTTGGAGTGACTTGCCCGTGATTTTCATTTTCTTTGTTTTGTTTGTATGTTATCTATGCAGGCAGGGTACTGTGGTGTGCTCCTCTATTCAGTCTAGTTGACAGCACTTATACACTCACCACCTGTCTATGCTCCTGTTATCAGCCTCTTGTATGTCCTTGCCGACCTTGGCAAACAGAGCTTGGTCCCTGGAATCCAAATAAGAATGCTATCACTTAAAAATCCAAAATGGTTGCCACTTGTAAAGATTCAAAATGGCTGCACCCTTGGTCACTTTAAATATCCAAAATGGCAGGTGCTTGTAAACATTCAAAGTGGCTGCACCCTCGGTCACTTTAAATATTCAAAATGGCTGCACCCTCGGTCACTTTAAATACCCAAAATGGCTGCTACGGGTAAACAATCAAAATGGCTGCTCCCTCTGGACAGAGGAAAGTCAACAGCTCACGTTGTCTCCCTCCTTGTTGTTTCCCTTCCTAGTCATAGGCCACCAGCACAGTCGTTCGTGCAGTCCTTGGTGACCAGGGCTGATTTTTAGGTGAATTCTCAGGTTGTAACACCACTTGGAAATATTCAGACTGTTGGTCCCATCAGAGTAGCTGACAGTCTGCAGCTCTCTGTACTCATTGTTTTCATTCAGGTTTTTCCACTAGTTGGTGCCTAATCAACTTCTGTATCCTTCCTTGCAAAGTTCAGGGCTCCAGGATTATCTTCTGTATCTCTGTCAATGGGTTTCTCTTTTCTTTGTTGAAGAGGGTCTGTGTCGCTTGTCTGCCTATTCCTCCATCTTACTGGAAGTCTCTATTTTATTTTTATTGTGATTTTGGTGAAAGTTTATAGTTCAAATTGGGTTTCCATTCAACAGTTCATACACATTTTGTTTGGTGACATTTGTTGCAGTCCCCACAGTATTTTTCCTTAGAGGCAGGAGTTTGATGAATCTATACCCTTCTTGGTTATTCCCTTTGAGAAATGGTACATCCTTGGGAGAGTGCCTTCTGGTGTTGTAAAGCACAGTTGTTTTTTTGCTTGTTTTTTTATGGGATGCTAATTGTTTTGCTGGGTGAACCCCCACAGTGATAGAAATGCAGGCTACTTTTTGTTGTGGGTGTGATAGTAGTATAGCTGTGGGACATCTCTTAGGAATTGGCCTGCTTCTTCTTAAGTTACAATTAGGAATAAACTATTTTATGTGTTCTTATTACAATTAGGAATAAACTATTTTATGTGTTATTAGTTCACACTTATGTTATTTAACTACCATAAAGATGTAGAATGTAAATTCAAAGTGATTTACTGTTTGTTGTAATTCCTCATACTGTCTTAACATGCCAATTCTAGGGAACAGCTGCCACCAACAATATATCAGCAACACCTACATTTCTGTTTTTTCGAAACAAAGTGAGAATTGATCAGTATCAAGGAGCAGATGCTGTGGGATTAGAAGAAAAAATTAAGCAGCACTTAGAAAATGACCCTGGAAGCAATGAGGACACAGACATTCCAAAAGGCTACGTATGTAGACTTATAATTGAAATCATCATATAATATTTTGTGTTTGTTACTATTTGCTTAAAACGAAATTGATTGAGACACTGTTAACACTGTAGGACTGTTCTCGTGTTTTGTTTTTTGCTGCATGGCATACTATTAAGTAAGAATTTTAAATTAAATTCGTTACCTGATAATTGTTTTGTGTGTGTGTGTGCGCTGTAACTCATTTTTTGGACTATTTCATATTTTAGTCAGGCATTTGGACAAGCAATTATTAAACACTTGTTTTATACTCTCTTTAAAAAAAATATGCTTTGGAAAATTTTTCAACTTTCTGCCAACTGTGAAACTGACTTGTAAATTTTAAGGTAGGATCATTATAAAACTCCATTTGCTGCCTCTTTTTTCATTGTTAATGCAGTTGTTTTAAATGTATGTCATCTTTTCAGGCTCTATGAAAAAAACATTCTAGTTACTGATTTTACTTCAGAACCAAATGTGAGTTTAGTTGGATGTGTTTTTCTGAGTTTTAAGGATCCATTTAAAGAATCCTTTTTGAAGACTTCATAATATGGATGGCTTGTAATGCAGCAGCTTTTAGCATTCAAAAAGTATTCAGGAAAGAAGTAAAATTCAAAAGTTGTGTCTCATGTTAGCAGATTTATTTATGTAAAGTGATAAATGGATACTAAAATATATATTTAATTTTTCTTGTAAGATTATTGTATTAGCAGATAAAAGAATGTATTTTTAAAAACTAAATGTTGCCTTCAACAAAAAGAAGTTAAAGCTAATAGATTAAAGCTCTTGTATTAAATATATTAAAGCAGATACGTGCCATGGGGCTGTAAGTTCTTTGTCAAGTCCTTTAAATTAATGCTGAATAAGGCACTTGACTGCTAACCAGAAGGCTGGCGGTTCAAGTCCACCAGCCACTCCTCATAAGGAAGGTTGGGCAATCTACTTCCATAGTGATACCGCCTCGGAAACCCAAGGAGGGGTCTCTGTGAGTTGGGTCCGACTTGACAGCACATAACAACAACAACAACAACAACAGTCAGGTAAAAGGAGCTCTGGTGGCGTAGTGCCTAAGGCACTTGACTTCACACCAGAAGGTTGCTGGTTCAAACCCACTAGCCACTCTGCTGAAGGAAGACTGGGCAATCTACTTCCGTAAAGATTTACCGCCTCAGAAACCCAAAGGGGAGGAGGTTTCTGTGAGTCGGAATTGACTCGATGGCAGTGGGTTTGGTTTGGTTTGGTTTGGTTATAGTCAGGTAAATGAGCACTTCTTTCTCTGAGGGGGTCAGAAAGTATCTTCAGCCTGTAATTACTGACATTAATTTTTTTAAGTTAGAGAAGTATACGTAGAGTTTTATATAAAGTAGAACTATTATAATTTGAAGTGATCTTCGATTAGAAATTATGAACATGTTGTATAAGTCAGGGTTGTGACACCTGTTGGAAAATTTTGGAAATCATTTGACTTATAAACTGCTATGTTTACATCTTTGTATTTTTTTTCCTTTAATACGAAGGGTGTTTGCCTGAGACAGTGTTATGAGTGCAGCAGTCCTGCTGTTTAGCCACAGGGATACTTCCTTACACATCAGCTAAATGTGATATCATTGTTTTGGCCTCAGGTAGGAAATAGGTAGGAAAATGAAGTTTTAAGAAATAAAAATTTAATTTTCTTGCAAATGTTATAAATAAAATGTGAAAAGCTATTAAAAACATTTTCTTTTTTTTCCATCAGGTGTCAAATCAAGACACTAGAAGTGTTTTGAACTATTTGGGCCTTACAGGATTCTTAATATTTAAAACTGACATTGTGTTCCCAAGAACATACTTAGAATACAGATAGAGAATTAATGAGAATAAGAATAAATGCAAACCTGTATCTTTTTTTTTTTTTTTTCCCCAAAAACTTTTTATTGTGATTTGGGTGAAAGTTTATAGAGCAAATTTGTTTTCCATTCAACAGTCTTTGATTGCAATCCTCACAATGTAATAGCACTCTTCCCCCTTCCTCCCTGTAATTACCATTTCCCTTTGTCCTTTCCTATCTGTTCCTGCCTTTTGAGCTTCATTCCTAGGCAAATGCTGCCCTTTTGATCTTTTATGGTTGATTGTTCTAAGGATTTTGTACCTCCTTAGTGTTATTGTTCATCTCGGGTCTGTCTATTGTTTGACTGCCTGTAAGTGGACCCATAGGAGTGAATTCAGTTCCAGTCTTGAAGGGTGACAAAAGGCCTTAGTCTTGGGGATTCCACCAGTCTATCAGACCAGTAAGCCTGGTCTTCCACATTTTTCACCCACTCTATCCAGGTTCCCCTAATGTGATCCCTTTCAGAGTGGTTGGTAGTGTTAGCCGGGTACCGTCTAGTTCTGGTCTCAGGGTCGCAGAGGCTGAGGTTCAAGTGGCCCACTTGTCCCTTGGACTAATGGTTTCCATGTGTCTTTGATTTTCTTCACTCTTCTTTGCTCTGGATGAGGAGAAACCAATAGTTGCGCCTTAGATGGCCCCTCCCACGCTTTTAAGACCCTAGTCACTACTCACCATAGTAGGATGTAGAATAATGTCTTTGTGGACTGTGTTACACCAATTGACCTTGGTGTTCCTCAGAAACATTTATCTTAAATAGATGGAACCATAATTATTTCAAAAATGAATTGATAATGTTTTATAAAAATTTGTGTTTCTTGAGATAGAGAGTCTCTGTCAGATGCTGTACAATTATTGATCTTACCCATCCTATAGTTTAGAAATTCTTGGTTTGACTGGAGGCAGAGAGAAGGTATGAGGAATTTTTAAAAAATTCTTAAGACTGAATAGTCTTATCCACTTTAATTTAGAGAGATATTCAAATTCCTCTTAGGATGGTTTGAAGCATTGCAAAAGATGACGACATGGTACTTACAAGGGTAAGATCATAATAGATCGTAATACAGAGAGAAGAAAATGTTTTTGTGAATAAAATAGGACTTGGTTTTTAAAATTGTATTAAAGTTTGGAAAGAATTAAAACATTGAGTCTTTTCCCATTGAGTAAGTAGTACCGAGTTTGGCTGCAGGTAGCTTGCCTCATGCACTCAAGTCAGGTGTTCCTTGCTGGAGAACTTGGACTATTAGACACTCTTAAGTTAAACTTGCCTTCATATGTGTTCTGAATCTTGAGTCTTGTTGGTGTATTTCAGTATCTTGACCTCTGAATTATTAAGTCCTGGTCTACAGATTTGTCATCCTTCGTCAAATGAACTGAAACCAATTTAAAGAAAGAACCAAAAACTGAAAACCACTGCCATTAGGTCAATTCTGACTCATAGCAACCCTTTAGGACATTGTAGAACTGCCCCCGTAGGGTTTCCAAAGCTGTAAATCTTTATGGAAGCAGACTGCTTCATCTTTCTCCCATGGAATAGCTGGTGGGTTCAAATTGCCAACCTTTTGGTTAGAAGCTGGTTGCATTAAACAGTACATTACCACTTTAAATGGCCCTGATTTATGTGGGAAGTTGCCAAATCTTTTTTTAACACAAAACTTGAAGCATGGGTAAGTTTTCTAACTTCCTGGGTTTTTAGTATTGCCCCCTAACATTTACCAAAAAAAAAAAAAAAAATGAACAGAGTACAAAAAACATGAGTATGTCCTTTGTTGGGAGCTCTGGTAGCGTAGTGGTTAAAGCACTTGACTGATAGCCAGAAGGCTGGCGGTTCAAACCCAGCAGCCATTCCTCGGAAGGAAGGTTGGGCAATCCTACTTCTGTAGTGATACTGTCTCAGAAACCCAAGGAGGGGTCGCTATGAGTCGGGGCCGACTCGACAGCACATAACAACAACAACATATCCTTTGTTCATCAGTTGTTAATATTTTGCTATTTTTTGCTCTATCTCATTTGCTGTTTTTATCTTTGCAGAATCATTTGAAAGGAAGTTATAAATAATAGCTTATCTCTAAATATTTCAGCATTTAGTTTCTAACAACAAGAACATCAGTAGCATTAATATACCTAAGAAAATAAACATTGATATAATATCTGTAATATATAGTCTGAGGAAATTCAGATTTCTTTAACTATCCCCAAAATGTCTTTATTGCTGCTTTTTTCCCCCCTCTAGGGTCAAATTAAGGATTATTCGTTGCATTTACGTTGTCAGTTCTCTTTAGTCTTCTTTAATCTAAAAACTTTGCCCTGCATTTTATTTTTTTTTCCTTTTCATGACTGCCATCTTTGAAAGTTTGGACAAGTAACCTGTCTAACCATATGGTAGCCACATACCATTGGCACACCATTGTAGATTCTGTTAAGCCTTCACAATGTACCAAGTGCTACTGAGAAACTGACTTTTAATTTTATTTAATTTTAAACTGGCACGTGTGGCTAGTGAGTATCATTGGATAATACAGATCTAGGTTTTCTGTCTTGTGGATTGTCCTACAATCTAGATTTGTCTTGTCGTTTCCTCATGATTTTTTGCTCATTATTGGCAAGATGATTACATAGGTGGCTGTTGTCAGGAGTCATGGAGTTGGTTCTGATTCATAGCAACCCTGTGTACAATAGAACGAAACATTGCCTGGCCTTGCGCCATCACATTCTTTGCTAGGCCCATGGTATAGTCAGTATTCTTTGCCAGTGCAGTTCAAATGCATCATTTCTTCTGTGGTCTTCCTTATTTATTATCCAGCTTTCACAGGCATATGAGGCTGCTGAAAAGACAGAGGCTTGGATCAGGTGCATCTTGGTCTTCAAAGTGACATCTTTGCTGCTCAACACTTTAAAAAGGTCTTTTGCAGCAGATTTTCCCAGTGTAGTATGTTGTTTGATTTCTTGACTGCTGCTTCCATGGGCATTGATTGTGGATCCAAGTAAAATGAAATCTTTCACAACCTCTAGCTTTTCTCCATTTATTGTGATGTTGCTTATTGGTCCAGTTATGAGGAGTCATTACATAGGTGGTGACATTTATTTCCCATTTCATACTTCAGTAGAGTATAATGTCAAATTTTCTCAATTTTTTTTAAATTATGATGTAATGCAACTGTTTAATATTTGTTTAATGTGCCCCATAGTGATAAATAATTAATAAATATGATTATCCTAAATAATTCATCCATTTAGTTTTGTTTCACCATTGAGGTATTGGAAATATGACTGCAATATTGTCTTCATGCCTGAAGTCTCAATCCTAGTGTGTAGTAGTAAAGTGACAGTCTGGGTATGATAGAACACATAAACATTCAAAAGATCTCCTCAAAACTACTCTTCCAAGGGAATTGTTTTCATAAAATCCAAGAGTACTACTGCTATAGTAGAACTGTGCTCTGTAGTCCTCCTTTGTTCCTTCTCCCCTTTTTTGGATTGGCTACTTTATGATATCTTGACTAATAACTTTTAGCATAACATTTTGACTATGAAAGCATTTAGGGTTCTATAGTAATAGATTATTACCACTTTGGTATTGATTTATATGTACAAAATGTGTCACAACTCTAAGCTCAAACCAAACTCACTGTCATCAAGTTGGTCCTGACTCAAGAGCGACCCCTTTGGATTTCCAAGGCGGTAAATCTTTGTGGAAGTAGATTGTCCTATCTTCCTTCTGCAGAGTGGCTGGTGGGTTTGAACCACAAACCTTCTGGTTAGCCGCCAAATGTCTTAGGCACCGCGCCACCAGAGCTTCTTTTATCACATATACATATGATTTTGTGTCCTCCTAATAAAAAAGATAATGAAGACCTTTTGTGATAGAAACATGGTCATGCAGTTGAAGCTTAATACTTGTAAACTTTCAGAATGGTCCTTGATTAGTAGATGAAGTGGACACTTCTCTAGAAAAACCGGCTTCCCGATACCAACGCCAGTAGCAGAATGCCTAAACAAACCAATTACTGCAGAGGAAGTAGAGATGATAGTAAAAAAGCCCCTCTATAAAGGCCCAAATGACTTCACAAGGAAATGCTACCAAATCATAAAGGTCAGATAATCCCAGTGTTATTGTAACTACTTAAGAGCATATAAAAATAGAAAACTTCCACATTTATTTTCAAAGTATGACATTGATCTCAGAATCTGACAAAGTTTGAACCAAAAAGAAAGCTATAGATCATTTTCAGCTGTGCATATTGGTATATAAATATTAAACAAAATCAACAACCCAGCAAAAATTAAGATTATATATTATGTGTGTTCTGAATCTTGAGGCTTGTTGGTGTATGTAAGATACCATTTATGTAATCTGTCATCAACCGAGGTAAGGAGAAAAATTTTGATCTCAAAATATGTAGAAAAGATACTAGACTAAATTCAATATCCATTTATTCTTAAGGCCTTTATGTTAGTTTCCTAGGGCTTTCATAACAAATTACCACCAACTTTGTGGTAAAACAACAGAAGTTTATTCATTCATTAAAATGCTGAATATGTTAAATTATGCAATAGGGAAGCAATCAGCGAATTGAGAAATATAATAAATCTGTAGGTTAAATGACTATAGATGTAAAAAGATTTAAGAGACATGAACAAAATACAGTGTATGTCTTTTTTAGATCCATATTCTGAGTCTAACAGTTCAACTATAAAGTATTCATGAGATATTTGAGGAAATAGAAGTTTTCTTTGAAAACTAGCTCTGGTAGCGTAGTGCCTAAGGCCTTTGATTGCTAACCGGAAGGCTGGCGGTTCAAACCCAAGAGCCACTTCTTGGAGGAGAGATGGGGCAATCTACTTCCGTAGTGATACTGCCTCAGAAACCCAAGGAGGGGTCGCTGTGAGTTGGGTCCAACTCCATGGCATGTAAACAACAACAGTGATTATCAGAGACTTAAATTTCTTGCTAAGATTTTATGCCAAATAAAAATTCTTGCCTAAAAGTCTCGATTTAATATTTTTCAGATGGATTTAATGCCTTTTATTAACAAAGCTGGCTGTGAGTGTCTTAATGAAAGTGATGAACATGGATTTGACAACTGTTTACGAAAAGACTTGTCCTTCTTGGAATCTGACTGTGATGAGCAGGTAATTGCTTAACTTCATGTTTATAGGGATTGTAATTCTCTACTCCCTCTCTTGTAACTTTGTATGGGCCCATCTTACTGTTTTGTGTATCTTCTTCCCAGATGATTACTACTTCTTTTCCTTCTTATAACCTTCAGTTTCTTTGATCCCATGTCCTTTGACTATGTAGACCCATTTATTTGCTTTCTTCTTCTGTGTGAGCTGCCAGGTACAGTAGGGAGAATTGCAGAAAGCTTGGATTCATCTCAGGGTGCTCTGATGCCACTGTGTTTAAAGCATTTGACTGGTAACTAAAAGGCTACCAGTTGGAACCCACTAGCCACTTGGCAGGAGAAACATGAAGCAATCTGCTTCTGTAAAGATATACAATCTTGGAAGCCCTGTGGGACAGTTCTGTTCTGTCCTATGGGGTTGCTATGAGTTGCAGGTAACTCTATGGCACTGGGTGTGGTTTTGGTTTGGATTGGCCTCACTGCTGAGATGAGCCTTCAGCAACCCTTCAGTCCTTTTGCTTATCTTTGGCCCACCTTCCATACTGTTTGCCCACCCAGATTAGTTTCTCTCTGATGAAAATTAAGCATTAGATGAGAACTTCCTACACCTCTAGCTCCTCACTCCTGGGTACTGTGTTAACGAGCATTTGAAGGCTAGTCTCTCTTTTTTATTGTTGCTGTTGTTGAGTATATACACAGCCTAACATACACCAGTTCAGCAGTTTCCACATGTACAATTCAGTTACAGTGATGACATTCTTTGAGGTGTGTGTCTATTGTCACCCTCCTTTTCTGAGCTGATCCTTCTCCATTAATACAAACTCACTGTCCCCTAATGTTCTATATGTAATCTTTTGAGTTGCCATTGTCACCTTGATCCTATGTAAACAAAAACCAAACCCACTGCTGTGGAGTCATATCTGACTCATGGCGACCCCTCCTTGGATTTTCGAGGCAGTATCACTACGGAAGTAGATTGCCCAGAGTTCCTTCCAAGGAGTGGCTGGTGGGTTTGAACCTCCAGCCTTCTGGTTTAGCAATCCAATACCTTAGGTACTATGACACCAGAGCTCCATGATCCCATATAGATAGTTCTTAAAAGAACATAATCCTCAAGACAGGCTTTTTTTTAAAAATTACTGTTGTTGTTGTTGTTGTTGTTGTTATGTGCTGTCGAGTCAAACCCGACTCATAGTGACCCCTCCTTGGGTTTCCAAGGCAGTATCACTACAGAAGTAGGATTGCCCAACCTTCTTAAAACAGAACAATTTAGCTTGAGTAGTAATTTTTATCATACGAGTATGATAAAAATTACTACTCAAGCTAAATTGTTCTGTTTTAAGAAGACTTAAGAAGTTGATTTGGAGCAGTTCCGGCAAGATGGCGGACTAGGCACAAGGACCGCACAGACGCTCTTCAACAAAGAAAAGGGAAACCAATTAACACAGACACAGAAGATAATC